AGAAGATTTTCAACAAGCTACACCAAGAAGATACTTATGTCTCAAAAGCTGAGACAATTGCTGGTCACTGGATCAATGGACACCCCCGTGCTACTGATAGCCGCGTCGCTCGTAGACTGATGATTAACGGTTGAAACAGGCCGTACTTTCTATCTCTTTCGAAACCAAAAATAAAAAAAAAAATAAAAAAAAATCAAAAAATCAGAAAAAGATCAAAAAAAAAATCAAACATACATCTGTGGGGTCTTTGCCTCTTCGATGTTTTCTTCATTCAAAAGATATATAGCAATAAATATAACTCTACATTTACATTTCACAGGCAAGTCTTGGTGCTGGATCACAAGCTATACACAGCTTCTCTTATATTCATAAAGGTTGCAAGTGTTGCACCATGCATCAAACTGCAGAAAAACTCTATTGAATAAAACGCCTTCTCGCAACAAAATCATCAATATAATCGTGGCGAATGTTTTTCTTGTAGGTTGTAATGATATTCTTCCTGTGCATGAGATTCCGTCTTCAAATTGAGCTACGGGGCAAATTTATTGATGAGAAGCATAGATCCTTTGAGTTCAAGTAAAACTTCGTAGCTCAGGGAAACAGCACATGAAAATGCAGAGAACACTTTTACCAAATTGAAATTGGTACTTAATTACGGAATCTCTCATATTGTGGACTTGGAAGAGCATAATAAGTGAAGCAGAGTTCTCGCCGTCGGTGCCCATTTGAGGTTTCGGATGAACTGTATTTCCTCCTGGAAGCCTGCTTCAACATGTTTTCAACGGATACAATAATTCGAAGCACCTCTGACAAACTCAACTTGTTCTGAACTACAAAATTTCACATTCAGCACACTTGTAAATTCAATTATACCCGCTATCTTCGTTATGTCATACTGATGAATTACTTTATCATAGGACAAACGCTTCATTAAAGCGTTTTCAAACTCAATCGGCCCACTGTCAAATGATTTAACTGTTGGTACTGAATCCAGTTTCTCGATCTGAAAATACCTAGGCACCCCGGCAAATTCAAGTATTAAGTGCAGAGAGCGAATATAACAAATATAGTATTTTGTTTAAACATTGTATCGGTACACATTCAGAGACTTGATTTGAGAAACCCTAGGCAAAAAGACTACTGAAGAACAACAGCTTGCATCGACAATTTCTCTGCTTCACTGAAGATTTTCTACCCAAATGAAGTTTTGTGAAAGTACTTTAGGAACCTTGTTTATACATACTCTTGAGCTAATTTCATTCCATGGATTAAGAAGTATATTTGACGCCTTCTTTCAAGCACCACTAATGAAAGATAATACACCGAAAAAGATACTGAACCAACTGCCCATATTTCTCTTATTTGGAAAGCTCGCCATGAAAGGTTTTCACTTTGTATACCCGCCATTTGTATGTTACGCGGATATCACCTCCAAAAAAGATTGCAGCACCACAATTTCGCATATGGTCTCCCACTACACTACTCAGTGTGGCCCTATGCAGCTTAACTAACGTTGATCGGACGGGAAACAGTGCTTCCTGCATGGTATGGCCGCAACCGATATATTACATCGAAGATACATTAAGAAGTTTAAAAGTAACCTTATTTTGTTTTTGTAAATCTTTTTAACTTGAGAAATTGAATCACCTTATACTTCAAATTGTTTTTTGTCCCCAATAAAGTCGTGATTAAAGGAAGAGGACGGGCCGAGTTTAGAAAAAAAATTAGAATTTTGTCACGTAGCGGGGAGCTGCTTAAAGGTTTTTTATATACTAGTTATAAAGTTTTGCTCCTTTAATCAGATGAACCTGCCAAAAAAATGAGTTGTTGTACAGCTGAATTCACGAAGTTGACAACTTGTTAGAAAAAGTTGACAGCATCGGTCATCTCATTAACAAAGAAGAGATGATGCCGTGCATCAAACAAAAGATGTAATTCTGAAAGTTGTCGCACTCTATGCTCAAAGCCTACATATCTTTGGATTTCAATAGAGACGGTTATAAGTTTTAATATTTCAGAAGATTTGTTCGCGATGTTTATCTGTTATAGCGATCAGAAGCTCACCCACCTCTGCAATGAGCGTGAGATTGTACACTTTGGTTGCAAAACCTTAAGGTAGATGCTATCTCCCTTAAATACTTCCTTTGACCATCTTAGAAACCTTTGGGGTTTGTTGAATTCGCAGGGTTTATTTGCTTAGGAATCTGAAGGCAAAGACAAATGTACGTCCTGCCACCTTGTCGAATGAACTATGGTCACGGGCCCTCAGAAAAACATATTTTATGGGACGATGACATTGAGTGAATTGCATTCCAGTGGTTGACATTGGTTTGGGCACAACATCCTCGCGCCTTTCACCTGAGCCAATGTTGCGATCTATGATAGGTTTATCTTTATAATTTTTCGTTAGTGGTGGGGGTTTAAATTTTCCCAGTGATACCCTATAATATGATGTTTCTTCAAAAAAAGAACTTTCTTTTGTTCGAATACGTGGTGGACTCAGGTTTCAATAGACAATCTGTGTTTCTTGCATGCTGTCAAACTGGTGGCTGTTCCGGACCTCAAAAAGTTTGACTCCTTGATCTCGCTTCGAAAAAGCAGTTTACCTTTCCTTGGAAGTATGCTTGTGTTTAATCGATTCACTCGCTATTTTCGTAAGCAATTCAGTCTATGTGCTATATCTCCGTGTTATGCTACACAACGACAGACATAGATGTCGATCCGCGAATCGACAGCCTGATTTCGCAGCCATACTTTGTTAGGCCGCCGACTGCAAAAATGATTTCTCCCATATAAACGAGGGTTCGCTTCTTTGTCTCCAAACACTCTTATACCTCTCCATCTTTCACGAACATACGCTTCAACATGATTGCACAAGTGATTTTTTGCTTCCAGATCATCCAATGCGTTTCGGAAATCACCGGGCTCTGCCTCATCGGTTATTTTCTTTTCGTGTTCCTTCTGACGCTTCCAGCTCAGCCTGAGTTTATCGCCATGAACTCTACAACGCTCTGTGTTGATCAACTCTACCCATGCCCCAACGAAGTTGCAACTACTGGAGCTGAAACAGAGGAGACTGGAAATCTGGGCTCTAGCTACGTTTCTGTTGAACAGGCTTCTCCTTCTGCTTCTTCTGCTTTTGCTGCTCCTTCTGCTGCTGCTGCTCCCTCTGCCTCTGCTGTTTCAGCAACCACTGGCTTATCAATCACAAACATCAACAGCTTATTCACCATTTCTCCAGCTAGCGACGATAGCTTCTCTGGTTTGTCCGATGGCGACACTGATGCTTCTTCTGCAGCTTCTCTTGTTTCAGACTCCAAACTTGCCTCTGCTGGTTTTCCTCAGGAATCCGAAGTTGTGGAGACTGACCAAAAACGCAAAGTTGAAGATCAAAACTGTCAAAGTGGACTCGACTTCCATGACAATGGGAGATTGATGGATAAAGCTGTAAACATTGCTCTGCTGCCTATTGCCAACCCAGATGAATCTGGGTGGCAAGTCCAAGGCAGAAAGCGTAGAAACTCTCGTGAAAGGAACGGGAAAAAGAAAGATATGGGAATCCTGAGTCAAATGGCTACTTGTGAGAAGATGCTTCCTCTTAAGCCAAAAACCTCTGCCCCTAAATCCATGCTTTCCAATAATCCTTTCCTGGTCTTGGTCAATATTGGTGAGGATGACTATCAGAAGCCCTGCTCGAGAAGACAGTACGAGAAAGTTCCAGCCATTCGTACCTCTGAGTGCACTCCTTCTGACAGAAACACTCTTTCCAGTGCCTCCAATTCTGTGGACTTCAAAATGGGCTCTCGCAAAGTCCAGATTGAGGAAACAGTTGCGAATAATAAATTGGATATTGCTCAAAACTCTGTCCAAGCCTCTAATCAAGACTCTGCCAATGACTCAGCTCAGACTCCAGTTTTAAACTTAAAGAAGGTTGAGACTCCAGTTGAGTTGTCTGCTACTCCTGAACTTGATGCCTTTGACGCTGGATGGCAAGTCCAAGGCAGAAAACGTAGAAACCGTCGCATAAGACCGACAGAAGATTCTGTTGTGACAGTTTCGGAAAGTGCCTTGAAGACACCTGTGGTCAAACCCATTTCTATCCTGAATCCTTTCCAGGTCTTGTCTGAGATAGGTGATGACGATTTCCAGAAACCTAGACCAAGAAGACAAAGGAAAAAAGAATGTATCACAGCCACCTTATTAGAAAGTTCTAAGGCAGCAGCGATACCAATTCTCTTTCACCTGCTGAACCGACTGAAGATTTGGTGGTGGTT